ATCCAAAAAGGAATACCAATTTTGACTTACATTTATTGAATTTTTCAGAGATGCCTTACCCAGGTCTTATCCGTGAAGTYTGGAAGGAGCTGCCTGGTAAAGATCTTAGTAAACTGAAGGAGGATCCATACTATCCYAACGACCCCTCTCTTGTGGAGATCATTGAAAACTTCGACGCCCCCTTCGATGTTGAAAAAGACTTCGGCAGCCGTGTCAAGGGATACTTTGTGGCACCAGAGACTGGAAACTACACCTTTTATTTGTCTGGTTCTAAGTCCACTGAACTGTGGCTGAGTAAGGGAGAGTCTCAACAGAACATGTCATCAATGATTGCGTTACACGACTCGACAGGACACAATCAATGGAATAAGTAAGTATTGCGTGACATTTTTAAGACTGCGTGACATTTTTGTAGACTGTGTGACGCGTGACATTTTTTATAAGGATGACTGCATATATTTTTTAACAATATTTAGAAAAATACCAAAGTATCATATATTTTTTTCTAGGTTTACTGCACAAATYTCTAAATCTGTAAGATTAGAAGCTGGAAAATACTACTACATAATAGCTCTGGAGAAAGGCACCGAGTCAACCGACTCCCTTTCTGCGGGCGTTAGACTACCCAGCGGTCGCTTCATGAGACCAGTCTCCAAAGAAATGCTTCAGTGGAGATTACCAGGTATGAATAACTACGAACAGGTTTCGACTTTCCGAGATATTATTGATTCAAATGTACAATAGAGAATCTGTAGGGACGTCATTGTCGCCGGTCAATGCACGAATCTTTCCCGAATCTTTTTTGGGTTGTTTGGTGGTTTCCACACGAATCATGATCGATTTTATTTACGTGTATTGATGCCCTTCATTGATCTCACCGAMGTTTTATCGATTAGGTGATCCATTCGCTGGTGTTATTCGTGAAGTCTGGCAGGATGTAGCAGGGTATAAGATCACTGACTTGACCTCYAATAAAAACTTCCCTAACAACCCATCAAGTATTGAAGTACTGGATAAATTCGACGCTCCACACAACATTGACGATAACTATGGCGCTAGAGTCAGAGGATACTTCAAGGCTCCCGAGGATGGAAAATATAGGTACGTAGTATTTACGTAACTTACGTYTCTGCTCGCTTATTTCCAAACGCACTTAAATAGTGGCTTACGTCTCCACTCGCTAATATGTGTTTTTGCTTACTTCTCTGTTCGTTTATTAAGCGGCTCGCTTGTCCAACCGCTTATTCTTACCACTACTTATGACATGCGCGTATGTTAAGTTGCTTACGCATCTGTCGCCTTATTTTCACTCGTCACAAAGTGGCTTACGTGTCCGTTTTCTAATTTTGAAACGTGCGTTTGTGGCTTACGTTTCCGTGTCTACCCACTTCAATACCTAGTGAAGAAAATAATATTGCTTCAAGTAAGCAATCAGGATATCAAGAATATTTTAAGAGCACTTAACGAGTATTTTACGAATATATTACGAGATGTTACGAATGCATTACGAGTATTTTACGAGTATATTACGAGTAATTTACGAGTATGTTTAATGATTGTTTGATAATGACAGGTTCTACCTTGCSGCCGATACGACAGGCGAACTGTGGCTCAGCACGGACGAGAGTGAAAACAACGTAAGRAAGATAATCACACTGAATGGCTGGACAGCTCACAACCAATGGCTCAAGTAAGTAAAACCTCTACGATTTCGACCAAAAGCTGTTCGTTTGTTGTCCGAAGGTTTCACGAAAGCTGYCGAACTTAAACGTCAATGAAGGCTTGCTTATGAACAAAAAGTCCCGAAAGCGGACCGATCCTTGTCCGAAGTTGCACGAAAGGTGTGGGAATTTTTTTCAGTTTCCGAATATAGATCAAGTTAAWAACTGAAATACTGAGCCGAATATTGACCGAAGTTTACGCGACAGTTTCCGACGTTTTCCGTACTCACCACGACATAAAGTTGCCGAATATGGTTGTATGGAAGTTGAAAGTTATCCGAAAACTGTATGTAAATTGTCGAAAGTTTTYTGTAGATTTTTAAGYCARACTGTWATAGACACCACCRTTGCGCAAAGAACTCCTGAGAAAAAATGGCGGCGCATTTATTTGCAAAAGTTGGGAAGACATATTTATTATAAGAATGGTTCTGAAATTATATKATGGATTCCTATCCATTCTAAAGTGAAATATATAAATYGGTAGTGCAAAATGTGATAGCTCGCGCAATAACAGCTCGAAACGCGCAAAGTATTCTTGGGAAATCATCTWTCTGAATAATACAAAATGGCGGCTCATGCAGTTGCAAAGCTTGGAAACATATCGTTAGTTCTATTTACTGAATTCACCGAGAAATTATATTTAGTGAATTCTAACCGGCCTGAGAGGTATATAAATTCGAATAAAAAGTTATATGTCCGAGTCCCTAATCCAGTTAAGAATAAACAAAATAGCAAACAAAAATTTTCAACTAAATCACTTGACAATTAACCTACATTTGCGGCGATAAAATCATGAGAAAAAAATGCTCCAGAAAAAGATGTCGCAATGACATAAGCCTAATCTYGCTTAAAGATAAATAATTAATAAAATTGAGAAAGGCAGGAAGCAAAGACTTAAGAAAACAAAGATATAASAGAATATGGAAATCCAATAAAAGATTATGTYGAGAACRTGCTTGATGTACTGTAAGTTAAGCATAACACCGGATCATTTTTGGACTTGAGGCTTTTCAATMAAACTAAAAGTCTTTATTCAAGTAAAAAAATTAGTTATCTAACGAAGGTTCTTGAAGCATGTTAGTGAAATTAAATTAAGGGAGGAATCACGTAACCACTGAGCTGTTTTGACAATTAATCAATTAAAATAGAATTAAATTAAAACTATTATTTAATTAATAGCCATGAAAGGTAATTTTCCTAGATTCTTTTTAGAGTGTGTTGATTAAATTTCCCCAAGTTTTATCAGGTTAAACGAAACGTAGTCAAACAAATTTAAAACCTCACTTTATTATTTCTAATCGTTTTTGCGGAAACACTTGAGAAATAGAACGCTCATTCTTATTGGCTGCTGCTTGTGTTTATGTCATAGTTCAAGCAAATCCAGAAATTTCCATTAATAATYATAAAATATAATTCTAACACAATTTGAAACGGATGGCACTCGAGATTCAGAGAAAAACGAACGTAGCGCACGATTGCTCAATAATTTTCACTAGTTAAGATCAGTATTTTGTTCATCTTTAGTGATTCAACTTTGAACTTTTGTCGTTTCCTAGATACATTGTTTATGGTATTTGTTTGTCATTAGCATAATTCTTTTCCTGTTTTTATTCACTTAATTAAAAACTATTTGTGTTCGTTAAAGGGTTTACGATAATYAYYTGGCTGTTTCTCCACTGTTTTCTTTCGTTTCTAATATGGTTTTTGTTGTTGTCAAAACTAATGGCCTTCTCACAAAGAGAGATCTCTTATCATACAGCGAGTAAATTGCTTAACTTAATTATTACGTAAGCTACAAACAACTCATAACAAGAAACATCTGTAAAAAGAAACATACTATCTAAAATGAGGTTATAACCTGAGAGGATAAAAAGTGAAATGAAATATTGAAAGAAAAAGTGGAAGAAAGAAAAAAATGAAATTATCCTTAAATAAGGAGTCTACTACAACGAAGTGTTACTTGGCTGGCTAATGAACTGTTAAGTGAATCATGGCCACTTAGTTACTTGGCCTTTTCTCGAACAGTGAACTCAGCTCAAATAAGGTGAAAAATGAGCTAGAAGAAAGGATTGGGATGATTTACTGTGAACCGGTTCATGTGAAATTTAACGTTTGAAATGAGCCTAAGTGAAGCACAAAGACGCAACGAACACAACAAATAATAAAGGCTATATGTGCACACAACAATACCAAGTCAAATTCAAACTGGAACAAGCGACATAAATAAAAATGAGAAAAAAAAATTGAAAATTTGGTTAACTTATCAATACAATATCTTTATTTGTTGTTATTTTTTTTCAACAATTACACTAAACACATGGGGAAAAATTAATGTTTTTTTTTGCTTGCTATATTAGTGYTAATAGCTAGAATCCCTTGAAAATGGAATATATCATAACCAACAACGAAACAAGGCTATTATCATTAAGAGAAACTTTCGTGCCTGCCTAAATTCAATTATCCTTTTAAAAAAGACACATGCGTTTTAACGAGAATTAGTTTCGTCCATCTGTAGAGACATGAAATGGGACTCACTTTTRTTTGTTGTGGTTTCYAATACAAGCTCTTAAATTACGAAATAATTTAACAAAAGCAAAAKGATCTGTTTCATCGACCGGAYCTCTTAAATATTTCTTATTTCATCGCCAAAAGTCATTTGTAAGCAGCGACTGACATTAATTTAGTTCGAGCTGCGAGTYAAGGGTCCTCAAGTCATTGTTATTCAAATTTATCGTCTTGTTTATTTAAAGTAGAGCTTCAGGCAACCGTCATTAGACRCTCTGCCCTTCAACGATGATATATATTGGAGGCAGACTGTCAAGATTTTGTGTAAACGAAAACTTCAAAAAAGCGAAAAAGATACGCGAATCGACAGGGGACAAAWGATGGATGTAGTGTGTGGGCTTTTTTATTAGTGATTTTATCGTCCTGAWWTTGCCATTGTAGAGGGGAATTTCGACTGAATTCTCGAAAAACCTGTAAAATGCACTAAGCATTTTAGTGGCTTCGTGGTGCATTTTAGTGGCTTTCTGGTGGATCAGTTTAGTGGCTTTCTGAAGCACTTTATTGGCTTTCGAGGGCATTTCATTGGATTTCTTGGACATTTAACTGGATTCCCGCACCGACTTTATTGGATTCGTTGCAATAGACATTCGAGTTTTTCTTCTGATGCAGGTTGCAGATAAAGCAGAGACGTCTTCGAGCTCACGAGGAAACAACAGGGAGAACTATTTAAGTCTAATGCACTCCGACAATAGAAAAAAAAGAGCACGAAACGGATTCATTTGCCGTTCAGAAACTTTCAACRGAAAAAACATTAAAAAAACACTGAAGAAGCATTCTTTTTCAACACCTCGTTTACCCGTTGTAAAAACAAATGTACAAATCGCGAGAACCGGTAGAAAACCTACTGATTTTGCCTCCAATGTCGCATCAAAACACAAAGSWACCACTGAGGTTTGGAAGTCTAAAAGAACTATCGAAGATGCTAAAATCCAGACTCGATCTCCAATGAAAAATCGAGTGACTTACCCCTTAATGAGTACGATTGATCGACGTATGTTAGATTCTATTTCGAGCTACGGACACCCGATCAATTCTAAGAGAAAATATTTATTTTCTAACACTTCTTTGGAGATCAAACCAATAGAACTTAAGCCCAGAAAGAAAAGACTCAAAGATATCAAGTACRAAACGAAGACAGAGATTAAAAAGAACGATTACAGCCAAGATCCTCTTGATGGACCTCTATTTCCAAGTTTATCTAGCGGATTTCATGTCGAGCCGTTGTATGTATATTCGCCTCCTTCGTTTTCGCCATCCGATGAAGTTAATTCGCTRGCTTTTTTACTTGATGGGATTTCACTATCGCCTCCACCGCCATCTGAACTGTCCTTTTCGTCATCCTCACAGTCACCTTTGTTTTTTTCACCAAGTAATGACTTTTTAGACTAAAAATGGCGCGCATTAAAAGTAGATTACGAAAAAGAACACAACAGAAAACKTGCTAAATTAAAAATTCAACCACACTRTAAACTAAATTTTATTTATTAGGAATTATAGTTATTTGATTCGAAAAGAAAAAATAATAACATGAAAAACTACAAATTTTTCACGCTAGAACGTGAATKTACGACAAAATTGATGAATATCGATTGAATGTTATTGTTTTGAGTAAAAAGAGATATGRCAATAACAATACTGTATTTCTAGCGTTTAATTATATAATTTTTTTGTTTCCAARTGGTTCCTTTCCCAAGTAGAATTATAWTATTTTCAGTGTATCGCCACARAAMAAGCTAGGGGTCAACATGGTTTTTTTAATCATAGTCAAACTGAGAAAGAAGTTTAAACATAGAGAATAAAAAGCTGTCAATTGCTAATCCTATATTTTAGACTTTTTACACTAAAAAGTACGTACATTTTAACGTTCTTTGGCAAGTAATCACTGCAAAAAAGGGGATTGAATTTCTTTTTCTTAAAAAYATTTTGAAATAATGCTTTAAAAAGATTGTGGGACAGAGGTAAAATTTCATGTCATAATTATGATGTAGTCCAATGCCTCGGAAGTTAGTGCGAAACAAATTCTATTCCTTGCTTTTCATATATATATTTTTGTTTAATTTTAACTATAGCGTGTTCTTTATGAGGTCGTTCATTTTCAAAACGCATGGCTTTTGTTTACTGTACGCCKAGACAATAAACATTATTTGTACATAATTTGCTTCGTTCTTGTCTGCGCTTGAAGATATTAATATAAATCGCCCAAAACAGACTAGTTTATTTGTCCAAAGGTGATGAACGCTCATATATAATACAGTCTGTTCAAATTGAGGTATTTTCCGTCTTCATTTTTATTTTCTTGWTTTTAATTGCTATAACGGAAAGCCAAATGTTTAATTTATCACGAAAGGGCTTCAATGCTTTACTAGGAAATTTTAGCAATATTTTACTACAGTTTGTTTTTGTTATAAATGTTTTGTTGAACATCTCGACTGGTCTCCTGTTCTCTGAGAGCTCAGTCAAGCTCAATGAATCCATTTTTCTTGGAGCTTAAACTCTCGAAAATCCCATTATCAGTCAAAATCGGCTTCTAAAATGCTTTTTGCTCAATTTTCAATCCAATTTTATTTTTCTTTTCTTTTTTTTTGTAATAATTTTTTTCCAATGCGTTGAAATCCCATTTTTCGTACAGATTCTCTTTTCCCACCGAATACATTCACAAAACGCTACAGGAATCATTATTTCTTGTTAAGAAGCGTACTATTTACAAATGGCATGGCAATTCAATAACAAAATGTAAAATGAAGTAGTGACCTTGCTTTTCAGTAAGCTTTGATGCCGCCATATAGAAATACGACTCAACGGTTCTTTTACCTCAAATGTGAAAATATTAAGAAAAAAATGTGGTTTGTAGTGTGTTGAATAACGTAAACACCTTGTTAGATTTTAATGTTTTAATTAAAATTAAACCTGTAGTGTTTACAAAGTATATAATCAGCAATTCCGGATCCAATTTTCTCTTCCACGTTGGCCGCTTTMATAATGAATTAGTCTCCCGGGAAGATTTCAATTTATATTCTGACACTCGTCTTGTTAAAGTTTCTTTCTGTTACAATCGGTTGTTGAGATGCCACGTTGTGTCTCAAGCCTCTTGCGGCTTATCAAAATACAGACGTTTTTTTATGAAATATGGCTATTATTCATTCTTACGCGCGCTGTGATTGGTCATTTATGATCAGTTCTAACGAGCTCTATGATTGGTCTTTATTTGCAATATAGATTTGCTCKTACGCGCGCTTTGATTGGATGCTTATTCGTAATATAGAGTCGTTTATAAGCGCGTATTGACTGTTCTTTTATTTATCACATAGATCTCTTCTTACGCGCTCTTTGATTGGTCTTTATTTGTAAAACAGATTTGTTCTTACACGCACGTTGATTGGTTCTTTATTTCGTTTTTACCCGCGCTTTGATTGGCGCAAAAAATTGTTATTAGTGATATAGATTAATTGTCGTTCTTCATATCCAGACAACGACTAGTAGTGCTTTATCAGACCGAGGAGATACAGGCGAAAGAGTATCTTCATTCTTGATAAAGCACTTAAAATATGTTGGAAAGCACTCAAAAAGGTTGTCTACTATTACAAGATAGTCTTCTCAATTTTCCTAATTAATTTTCTCGCACTTTTTGCCATTTATGTTCTAGCGGAACAAAACGAATGAATAAAGTAGTGAATGAATAAGCAGAGTAAACAAGAAATGAATAAATGCAAATAAGAATAAGAAGAAGAAGAATTCGATTTATTAAAAAGGAAAATTTTCTTTGAAAAAACATACCCACACAAAAAGCAGGAAATTATTTCTATTTTTTTTAATTTTCAATTTTTAACAATAATAAGAATAAGAATACTTTGATTTATTTAAAAGGGAAATTTTTCAAAAAAAACGCACCCACACAACAGGCAGTAAATTATTTCTACTTTTCAAGTGGACATCACTACGCCATTTGAATCATCGCTTCCTGCATGACAGGATCCTTGCAARCGCTGTTTGACAATCATAGTTTTGTGTGTACATAGGCTCTGACAGTCGRCGTCTGCACGGGCTATCTTGTTCAGCTTTATAAATTTACTCAAAACTTTGACAGAAATCTTGACAGACTATCAAGTTATGTCAAATTAATGTTAATATTCTTTACTGGTGTTAAATATAGATTTMATGACTCTTTGTACGAAGACATTTTGTTTGAGTAATCGAATATCTTCACCAAAGTTAAKGTGGTTCCAGGRGTAWTTYTTTTTGCTTCGCTTTCAATATTGTTTGAGCAAATTAGTGTCGTTTTTCCCTGTCTGATCAAGACGTATTTTGCAACAGATACAAAACATATATTGAAGTCAGTTTGATGTATGAGAACTTAATAGGCGTTGGTATGACAACGTAAAACAAAATTAACTTTACTAGAATGTCTCTTGACGTTTTTGATACCATAGCATATCATACTCTAACTAGACAAATAATTGTTCATATCATACACACTCTCAATCAAAAATTGTTCAGTTAAATAAGGCTCAGCCTTAACCAATAATTGTTCATATCATATTCAGCCTTAACTAATATCTGGTCATATCATACTCGGCCTTGATCAATAAGTGTTCATATCATACTCAGCCTTAACTAATAATTGGTCATATCATACTCGGCCTTGACCAATAAGTGTTCGT